TATGGTTTTGTTTGTCCATGTATGTTTTGTGTTTGTTGTAAAAATAAAAAAATATTAAAAATAAATAAATAAATAAATAAAAGGGTTCATTATTGATACTAAAATAAGATACGAAAACTCTAAATACTTAAACCTAATTGATTACAAAACTGCTCTATGAATAAAACACTAAGATACCATTAGGCTGAGTTACTGAACTATTAAGTAAGTAAGTGTGTGTGTCTGGAGATACAGATATGCATACACGCGCAGGCTTCCCTTGCTTTATGCTAGGGTTTCATTCCCCCAAATCTCACATGAAGCAAGACGCTGACCCAGTAGGAAAAAGGGGGGTTGTAGGGCATGATGTCAAATTTTGTAACCTTAATGTATTGACAAATGCACTCATAAATTTTTAGAGCCTTGTTCTTAAGCACTACATTACTCAAACTAGTCTTCTTCCTTGTCTCATGCTCTATATAGAGTGAAAGCATTTTCTTCATCTTTTCTACAGCTGGATTTCTAATTATTGTGAATATCATGGCATCAAAGAGGTAGAATGCACCATGGCACTACAAATTTTATTAGCAGTCTTTGTTCTGTTGCACACAGTAGCATCATCCTGATTAAAAGCTTGTCCTAGGGCTGAGGATCCTTCATCAGCTTGGTGTGACATATCTCCAACTTTTAGTGTTGGAGAGAACCTTTCATTTTATGTAAGGGGATTGGACAAAATGTAACAATCCATTACAGGTATGGAAATAAGTGGAGACAGGATGCATAACTAGAACAATTGCACAACATGATAGTAAATGTGTGAGTGAAGCAGAAAAAGGTTTTGGTGGGAAAATGTTCAAGTGGTTTTAGTGGGAAGAAGTCTTGCATGTTACCAGATTATGCTGGCACAAATCACATAACATTGATTTTTTTTTGCATAAAATAAATTCGTGGACAAAAAGGAGGACATGTACAATAGTGAATTTGCATAAAGTGAATTCACATAAAGCAAGGGAAACCTGTGTGTGTATAAAACTTCATTATGATCAGTGACAAGCAGTTAGATTCAGATAATTCCATAGAATGTAATACAAATAATCACCATGTTACCTTTATTTTCCAGTATGAAGGAGGAAATGATGTGATCCCATTCTTCATTTTTTGTATCCAACAATACCAAGACAAGATCAAACCTGCTAAGAAGAGGGCTTCCAAGGGCTATGTTGACTGAGACAGATTCATTAGTGTCATATTGGCCCTTTGGATTGGTTGCTGCCAAAATTGTGGTCCTTGTATTCAGTTTGCACACTAAGCTGAAGGGAAAGGATGGCTGGCATTAGTATCAAATAGAACTGAACTATTTTAGAATTGATTTTTTTTTTAATTACTGGTAGAACATCTTTCATTCTAGATCTTTATTCTGGAATCCCAAAGCATTCCATTGATTTCATGTGAGCTGAACAGCTCAGATGATGGTAACAAGTTACTGGAAAAGGCTTGTGGATTATATTAAAGTACAGTTTGCAAGTGTGTGGCAAGCCAAACATGCAGGTGATGGATGACAACAGCCCCATTTTGACTAGAGGCAACAACACTACAAATTTTAAATTAGCGTTGGATTGCTAATCGCTTACTAATGTGATTAATAAAATGGTTTTGTCAGCAAGAACAAGAATGAAATATCTGGAAAACTAATTTGAAAACTCTAAATTCGGCCAGGTCCCAATCACAATTAATCAAATTCATCTCTCATTTTGCTTCAATCTACCTAGATACTCCCAGATCAGCCCCACTATCTAGTCTTTCCCAAGAGACCCTATTTGTTTAATTGGAAACTGATTGTCCTGATTCTTGAAAAATTATGACCCTCACATCCAAACTTTCATTTCCACTCAGCTATGCTTATTTGATGCACCGTAAGTACATATCCCTATTAGACAATTATGCATATTCTCACAGAATCAACATACAAGCAACCTGACTCATAATAAGAGCCTCTGTGACAGCTCTTGAGTACAGTAAATTTTTTGCCTTCCTTAATTCATTTGACCTTGACCTGAGATTTGTTTTCAGAGCATCAGAAGGATATTTTTTTCTCCTAGTAGTCACAGCATAACCCTTAGTGCAGGCAGCTAGGCAGCTGTTCTAAATCTGACTGGGGGTGATCTATTTCTAGTTGGTGCCATCTTAGCCCTTACCTCGCATACTGAGTGGGAACAAGTGTAGCACCAATCATCTTAGCTTTCATATTTGTAGCAGTATGCAACATGGGAAAAGCATTTTGACTTGCAGCCAGTATCAACAGAGATTCAAAAAGGAAATCAGAGTTGACCCCTTTGCATAATGCCATAAGGATTGCTAAATATGGAAGGGAAAGGTTGGAACCCCAGAACACATACTTGGAATGGAAAAAGGGTCTAAAATTCCATCTGCAGCACTAAACAAATTTCATTGCTCTCCTGACTAAAAATGGATTTCCATTTTTACTGAAAATAGTATCCAGTAATGGTCATTTCAAGACCATGTTTATGATCAGACTTATATTGGTACAAGGATGATGTAAACATAACAACCAAAGTGCATTATTTTCTCATGTATCCTGCTTTTATACACATCCAGAAAGCTTTGCTGCAGATTCAAAATTTTAGCAAATTCACTGTGGTATCTCAGACAGGAGACGGGACAAAGTGAGAGCTAATAGCCAAACTGAAGCTGCTGATTCTTCACCTGGCAATTTTGAAAAATGCTGGAAAAATATTAAAATTCAGCAATGCACTTAAAATATCAGAGGCTGCAAAAGAGTTTTGGAGCTGTAAGTTGTCCACTGCAATCTTTGTGTTATATGTGAATTAGACCATTATGTCTTGTTCAATAAACCATGGCAAAAAGTCCTGATTTAGCCTTATGTGTAAGAACAGTCTAATGAGGAAATTGTAGAGAGATACTTTCTTTCAAAACAAAGTAAAACCTTCTTGAGTAGCAGCAACAAGGGGAAAAAAGAAATGTATGTAAACACCTTAGAAAATAAAGTCCATGTTAAACTCTCTTAAAAATTGTCTTTCCCCAGGTTTATAGGAACACCCATCACAGAGGAGGGGATTAAATGATCTTACAGCTCATGCTCCTTTTAATTTGGGCAATAAAGTGTTATATATATTATTTACTTTTTGATTGCTGTGGTTCCCCGTCTTCTAAAGCAAGTGCAATATATACTTATAGGTGGGTTATAACTATATGGATTGTAATCTGTAACATCTCTATGGAGCACACTGATTTTTTTATTGAAGTTGAATTGTGTTGTCTCTGATCTCAGTAATAAAGTTGAAATATGTTTAATTACATCTATAGTCCACTTTTCCTCCAAGACATGTTTTTTCTTCTCTCCTGTCCCTATTTTATCTTCTGTGAGGTTGGTGAGATGGACAGATATGGACTGGAGCAGGCTCATCCAAAAAGGTTTGTAGCTAAGTGGGGAGCTGAGTCTGGATCTTTCACAGGTTAATTTGTACCCTAAAACCACTTCATCACACAGGCAATCCTACAATATCAACACAAGGATCAACAAATTAAAAAAATAGGGCTGGTATCTTAACACATCACACATACTTACCCAGCCTTGGCCACACTGATGGTTTGCTGCTCCATGGCTTCATGGATGCTTGTTCTGTCATGTTCCTTGATGCTGTTAAACTCATCTATGCAGCAGAGACCTCCATCAGCCAGGACCAGTGCACCAGCCTCCAAATTCCATTCTCCAGAGTCTTTCACAGCAGTCACAGTCAAACCTTGAGAACAAAAACTTCCCTGTAAAAGCTTGGTAGTACTAGTAGTAGCTGTTTTAAAAATAAATGCATTTGAAAGCAGAGTATTCTTGCTCTGAGTTACATCTTGGCATGGCTTTCCAAAGCACATGCTTAACCCATATGAACATGACAGCTTTACTAATTCTGGGTGAACACAAATTTGACACTGTTAACATCTGCACAGTTACCAAGCAACTTTCTCATCAGTCCTCATGAAAATTCTGCATTTTTGAGCAGATCACAGCTAAAAAAGACAATAAAGCTAAATAGATATGCATTTTTTAAAAAGCATAGACAATCTCCTTGAAAGATACACAAGAGACAAATTAAAGCAAAATAGCAGTATTTATTTTCTACCTCTAGCTTTTCAAATATGAAGCCACTCATCTATATACTACTAAAACTCTGTCTGTCACCTTCAACTGGCCAAAATGGTGTATCATAGGGCAATAATTTTTGAAGCAAGGTATCTAAAATGGGCTAACTTACAGAACGAGTCCAAAATTCGCACCCATGACTTTGTTGAATTGAAATTTCAAGGATCTTCAGACCAGTTGTATTGGAAAAGTTGTGGCGGCTGCAGTGCTGCCATGGTCAGCTGTGGTCACATGACTGTAATTTCCAGTGCTCCCTGCCAGCTTCCCACAAGCAAAGACAATGGGGAAGCTGGCAAGAAGTTGGAAATTGCTCCCGCTCCCATTGATTTTTTGCCCACCTGTGGTCATTCTGTTTATCTCCTTAGGTAAGTAAATATTGACAAAGGACCCATCCTAGGTTGTCTAGTTGGGTATTAGAAGGCCCTACTCCTTTTTTGATATATCACTGAGAGTTCATCACATGAAAAACAAATGGAAAAGTTTCCTTTCTCAAAGGAGATTTAACATTTGGTTTTAGCTAGAAAAGAAGAAAATATGTATTTTCATATCCATGCTGCTCTGGCAATTTGTTTTTTAATCTGCTGATCTACAAGTACAGTTTTAGTGCTGTTGCATTTGTACTATACCTCCAACACTGAAGAAGAGCTATGTCCCCACTTTAGCACTCCTCCAGATGTGTGGACTTCATCTTCTAGAATTTGCCAGCCAGCATGGCTATTTGCTGAGAATTCTGGGAGTTGAAGTCCATACAGCTTGAGTGTGTTAAAGCTGAAAAAGGCTGAACAAGTGAAACAATCATTGAATGAATGTTTATAGGCTTACTGTAGGGCAATAGGAAACTCAAACTCAGCCATACTAGTAAGACCAAGATTCATTCCCAACAGTGGAATAACACTGCCATAAAAACCTGATAATGTAATGCCATATTCCAAAGCATAAAGATTTTCTCAATAAATGTTTGAACAAGAGTGCCTTTTGACTTACACAGTACTGGTGCAATCGTACTAATGCATTTCAAGGGCACGATCAAACAGCAGCACATACCTCACTCTTGCCCTAACCATACATTCACCATTCATGAAAAAAAGGGAAGAGCTAAGACATTAGGCAACTTGACATTTATTTATTTATATATTTATTTATATTTCAAATTTAGTCACAGTCCATCTCACTCAAAGAGCAACTCTGGGCGGTTTACAAATAGCGTTACATATTAACACTAAGCCACAGTTTATTTTAGCTACAGTGGCTGGGTTCATACATTTTGTTAAACAAACATCAAACAACCATTCTATGGCTCAGCAAAATGTGTAGCCATTGCATTCCAGGCAAGTTCTACACAGAGCTGGGCTTCCAAGGAGGAACCTGCATACAGGTAGGTTAATATCAAAGCAAGCAGTCATTAAGGCAAGGATGGGAAATTTGTGGCTTCGGCTCAACTAAAATCCCTCCCCGCTGCCCATGCTGGTTACAGCTGTTGAGAATAGCTGCTAAGAACTAAATTGCTGGGAGTTACAGTTCTTCAGGTTCTTCTTAATTGCTTAGGTAATCTAGATTCAGACTACTGAGCGTTTTAAAAGTAAAAATAATTAAAAGTCAGACCTTCAAATTGAGTCTACTATCAGCTACTGAAATTATTGCAAAATTGGCATTATATGCTCTACGTGGCTAGGACCAATCAATGACACAACACTTGCGTTCTGAACTAGCTGCAATTTCTGGATGCTCTGAAAGGCAGCATTACAGTGCAGTCCACTGCCACATCTAAGATGTGACCAAGCCATCAATCACATGCATAGGTCACTCCCTGAAAGGAAGGCTGCAGCTGGGAAACCATTCGAAGCTGCAAAAATGTGTTCTTGATTATGATGTGACATGCACTGTGGTCCAGCATTGATCCAGAAACAGCTCCAAAAGGTGAACGCAAGCCTTTAGAGAAAGTGCAGAGCATCTAACAGAGGCTGAAGACCAATCCCAAACATGTTTCCAATTATATCTTGTCTGAATTACAGTTGTGCTTTTCCCCCCCCCTTTAATCCACTGCTAGGCCTGCCCATGACGAATAAGTCTAAGACTTTGACCGCCTCTCTAGAAGCTGGCGAGAAGGGGAAATGGAGTCCAGGGTCACCAACACATTGCTAACACTGTATCTCATAGATGTTCAAACAGCATGAGACAAGACAGAACCCTGAATGTTCTCTCCATGGCAATCCTATTAAGAAAAGAAGACGTGCTGGCTTGGTCCCTTCATTGGCTTCTCCAAAGACTACTGGAATCACTGGCATCTACAGCAAACAACTAGGCTAAAATGAGCACATATATGCAACAACATCATGAAAACACCAACACTAGATATCTGCATCCCGACATCTGATGTAAGTGCGTGCTTGCAGAATTTGGCTATCATCACACACTTGCCATCATTTGCTCTATCTGTGGGTGCCTGTGATCAGAAAGGCCTAAAAAACAGCCACCCTCCATGAGCGTCTGCACTACACACTCAAAAGTATAATAAAACTGATTGTTGAAACAAGGCCAGAGGTTTTGGTTTAAGCCAGTGTTTCTCAAACTTGGCAACTTTAAGACATGTGGACATCAACTCCCAGAATTCCCCAGCCAACACTGGCTTAAGCTAATGAGGTCGCCTAGTTGCTAACCTGAACTAGCACCATCATTTGGCATATATGCACACGTAAGGCACGCATTATCTGTATTGCAATCCAACGCCATCAAATCTTCTGCACTAGGCTGGAAAACGCTGCTTCGCTAAATGTCAACCAACCCTTTCAACCAAAAGCGGGTAACTTTTTACGCAAAATAAAACCCAAAAATCAGCCCCGAGAGAGGGGAAAAGAAAAGGAGGGAGAGCCCTCTTCCGCGGCGGCAGGCACCAGGCCGGGCCAAGAGCACACCCCCTTCCCACGGCGAGGCCCCCCGCGCTGGTTCCTCCGAAGCCCCGCGGGCGGTTCCGCCGCGATAGCCGGCGCCGGGCCCGGCAGGTGGAGCGCCAGCGAAGCTTCCGCAGTCCGCTCCAGCCACGGAGCCCTTCTTGCTCTCTCAGGGAAACCTCGGCAGCGGGAGGAGGGTCACGGCTCCGCCCGTAGCCAATCCGCGCCCGCGCTGCCAGTTAACCGAGGAGAATGGGCTGTAGTTTCGAGGAGTAGGAAAAGCTGCAAACAGTGTGGAGCGCTCTTGGTGTAAAAAGATACACGCGCGCCCGGCCGATGCCTACGCTAAAGGCGCCAGAAACCGAAGGGAGGGCACGGAGCCAAGTTCCCTAACTCGCCTCTCCATCCTTGGCCGGCGCCGGCGCCTTTCTTCTGCACACGGCGAGCCCCCTGGACTTTCTCGGGCGGCGGGAACACGCTCCGACTATTGTTTGCGGGTCCTCTCCCCGCTCCCGCCCGCCCGGCCAATATGGCAAAGGTTCAGGTGAACAACGTCGTGGTGCTGGACAATCCCTCGCCTTTCTACAACCCCTTCCAGTTCGAGATCACCTTCGAGTGCATAGAGGACCTCTCCGAAGGTGAGTCCCGGGGAGCCTCTGCCTCCCTCTTGGGCGGATCGCGCGCCGCGACCAGCCTCTTCGGGCTTCCAGGCTTAAACTTTGCAAAGGCCTTGGCTCCGAGAGCGTCGCTCTGCGGGGGCTGCGCCGGGCGGGATGCCTGCAGGAGAGAGCGGGCGGCGCTGGGCTTTCCCCCGCCGCGCGGCTGCGGGCGAGCCCCGAGCGGCTGCGAGAAGGGGAAGCCGCAAGTTGCTTGGAAGTTGTTCGGATGCTGGGAGCAGCCATGTTGCCACCGTCGTGGTGAGCAGCTCGTCGGGCGCATACGCGAGAGGAGGGCTTAAGCAAGCCCCGCTCGCATGCTCCGAGCGGGACGCCGGGCCGGGAGGGGGCAAGGCTCTGCCGGCAGTGGCCTGGCGTTAGGTGGGCCTGGACCCCCTTTAGCAGCCTGGGGGAGCACGGCTTGCCTTTCCTTCTCTGTGCCGGAGGGACTCGCAGTTGCAAAGCGTGGAAGTACTTGGAGAAGTCACCGTGGCGCTACTTTGCTTCCGTAACTACTCGTACGCTTCTCTTTTGGAAGAGCATTGGGCTTTCAGACCTCGCAGGTCGGGACTAGCGAACAATTCCAATTTCTCTTTTCCTCTCTAGCGAAACAAAATCACCGAGCGCCCTCTCAACTCTCTCCCGCCTTACAAACTGGGACTACTGGTGCGCCACCTGTCTTCCACCCTCCCCAGTGGGCAGAGGAGTTGGTGTCGGGTGCTACAGAATTGTGCTGTAATTTGAAATAACCTCAATTACTCACCCCACCCAGTAAATTATTTCCAGTGAGTCCCACTGACTTTCGGTATTTGGTTGTAGTGGCTTGACTTGACTGAAGCCTAGCTAAGATTATGGTTTCTTATTTTTGTTTTCAAGCTTAGAGTTCAAAGAGGGGGTGGCTTGGAAGGGGTTTTGTTATGGGGGGGGGCTTTTAATAAAACCAAAATTTTGAATGTTTGATTTAAAGATTTTTTTTGATGCAGATTTGGAATGGAAAATCATCTATGTGGGCTCAGCAGAAAGTGAGGAATATGATCAAGTTTTAGATTCAGTTTTAGTGGGCCCTGTTCCTGCAGGAAGGCACATGTTTGTATTTCAGGTAAGCCAGTTCTTAAACACTGCACAATTGTTTATGTTTAGTTGCTGCTCTAAACTGTTTTAGGGTAAATAGGAGGCAGGAGTATTCGATATGTTCACTGCCTTGAGTTGACCTATATATATAAATAAAAGGCAGGATAAAAATCTAATAATAATAGAAATAGAAATAATAAGAAATTCTTCATGACAAAATGTTACCAATTCAATGGTTAAATGCAACTGAAATTCAGAGCTGCCATTTATTTAAAGCAGTTTCCAAACCTAGAGTTTAACCGAAGGTCACACAACCATCTTTACCTGAAACCAAATTTAAAATCATGAACTTATGTATGTGCCCAGGTTGGGTACAAGCACGCTGAAGTTCATCACATGATGAGGCAAAGGTAATTGCTGAGGACAGAAGAGACTGTAAGTGGAGCAGAATAGATGTCTTCAGCTATGTTCTCACAGCATGTCAGGTCACATTTGAAGACCGACTTTAAACCTGATCCTTGTATGCAGTGCTCTAGCCTGCACTGAAGCTTAATAAGATCAGTTACCTGAAGTAATATTCTCAGTTTTGTTCAAACCTAGAGGAGAGCATTTATTCAAAGACAGCCCTCTTGTCAGGCTTCCAAGCATGGGAGAGTAGTAAATCTTCCCAAATGAGGTGATTTAATTTTTATTTATTTATTTTTTTTACACAACTGGGGTGGGCAAGGCTAAGTCTCCCACTTGATTTGCCTTGCTTTGCCTCACTCTGCCCCTAAGTGGGCCACTTCATTTATTGAACCTGAGAGGCAGGAGAAGAGATAGCTGCAAAGGTAGTCAAGATACCAGTGGATCCCAAAGCAATCTGGGCTACCTAGAGTTTCTTCAGATGTCCAGCACCATGGGTAGTGCCAGACCAGGAAAAAAAATGTCCATTTTAAGATCCTGTGGGGAGGTGCTGCTTGGTCTTCTGAGACCACCTAATTTGCTGCTGGAAGAGATAAGCAAGGCTTCTTGGTAGATTCCTAAATTCTGCAGCTTTCTCTGACTGGAAGTCAACCTTCAGGAAGACTAAATACAGTAATTATTTAAGGGACTAATTCCCTGAGTTAACTGCTTTGTCATAATTCCATTTTGGGACAAATTTTTGTTCGGCTCTTTAATTTCTATTTTTTCAATATTTTTACTGGAGGTTGGTTGAGATGGGGAGCACTGATAGCCTATAAGTAGTATGAGCATCTCATTTTATCTTGTAGTGATTGGGTTTGTTTTAGACATAGTTTGCTGAACAAACCATATTAGCCTCTTATCTTAATGTAAAACTAAAGAAACAGCATCATGGCCAAGTTAATAAGCACACATGTGTGTGGAAAAGTGAATCCCAGTGTGCTTCTACAACCATGCATCATGTTTATTTTACTCTACATTGCCAATAAAAATAGAATTATTTCTAGTATGATTTTGTCCAAAACTCTGTGAATGTATTTATAACATTCCTGTTAACTAGCAGAAATTTGTGGCAAATTTGAAATGCAGTATGTTGCTTCTGAAGAAATTCTTTCTATTTTGGAAGTGAAAGAAAACTCCTTTTAAATGTACTTTTATAAAAGAGGTGAATGAGTATGAGTTACTGTTCCAGTGCTTCCATTTAAAAATGCTTGTCATGCAGTATTTCTCTCTCTTTCATGAGAGATGGGGGGAGAGGGGGCTGGAAGAGTCAGGAATATTTTTAAACTGCAGTGTGATCATCTGGTTCATTCAAGATAGTTAGCTAGTTTGATGTGAACAGGAGATGATCTTTTAAAATTTGCATGGAATTTGACAGTTTACATTAACTAGACTTTGAACTCTATGCAGGATGCTTCAAAATGATTTTAACACTAACCCTGTAAACTAGATTAAGTATGATGTGACTGTTCTGAAGCCTGTTTATAATGTAGTTTAGTTGTATGTGCAAAGCATGAAAACAATCACTGTGTGTGTGTGAGAGATAATACATATGAATATAAGGTTTAGTTGGATGAGTCAATCTAGTCTTTTAAAAGGTTGACCTTTGAGATGAAGTATTAAGGCAGATACTACCTCTTTAATTAAATAATCTGCTTATATGTTCACAAGCATACATTTACTTGGTTGTACAGTATTCAAAAAATTCCAAAGTGAAAGAAGGCTAATAGTCTTCTGAAAAGGCATTTAAGTTTTCTGAAAATTAACTTGGAAAATAATCTGACTCAAGGGGATGAAATGATAGTGTATGAAATTTAAATTATATATCTTGATGATCAGTCCTGTTTTATTTTTTTGCTATAGGCAGATGCTCCTAATCCAGGACTTATTCCTGATGCAGATGCTGTAGGTGTAACGGTTGTCTTAATCACCTGCACTTATAGAGGTCAAGAATTTATCAGAGTTGGGTATTATGTAAACAATGAATATACTGAAACGGAATTGAGAGAAAACCCTCCAGTAAAGCCAGACTTTTCTAAGGTAGGATATAATATACTGTGTAATTTCATTTTTTTTTTTTACTAATTTCAATTTAAATACTCAAAACTAAAATAGACTTTGTTAGTCAATGTTGCTTAAAAATAAGCAACAGTTAATAGGTCAAAATTAAGTAGCTTTTGGTCATCTGTCAATGATAGTGCTGCATTTTGTAGCTCCTGGGTCATTCCTACTTCCAGGGTGGGCTGAGGGAGTGTTGGTAGACCAGCAAGGATAGCCCGTCCCAAAACATTTGCCCCACGTGCCTTACACTTGTATTGTGAAAAAAGGAAAGAACTGCTTAAGAAAGTGTTCCTCCAGACTAGAGATTTACAAACTGTTCTGGGCAGGGAGCATTCTGTGCATACATCAGGCCGTATCGATGCTCTGTGCATGGACCCAGAGCCAACCGGGAAAAGGCAGGCTGGTGGTGCACGGCTCTGGAAAGGCAGGGTGAGGCCTGTGTGTGGTGCCAGTAGTGGTGAAGGAAAGTGCATTGGTGCAGAGCAGTGGAGAGAAGGAAGGCATAAAGGGAAGGAAGCTCTGGAAAAGATCAGAAGGAAGGCTGTTGCACAGCTAGGAGATGGGGAAAGAGGAACAGTGTGCACCAGCTTTGCCTTCCTTGCCCCTTAAAACTCTTCCAGATTTGTTTTGGCTCAAACCCAAGTCATTCTTGGGGTTTCCTTCAGGCGAACTTATGTGGCACAATGTATTTCCTCTGTGTGTGGAAGAAAGCACTTTTGCTTTGCGTGCACTTGTACTCTAAACCAGCAAGGATGGATTTGTGGTAAATGGACTTAGAATCTTAATTCCGGTCCCAATTCACAAAGCCCAGGCTTGGGCATGTGCTCAGAGGAATCCCTTACTTCATCTTTAGTATATGTGTGGCTAGCTTTGGATATTACAGCCTTACTGCAGCTTGTGTATATGTGCGGGGGGGGGGGGGGAGGTGTTAGTTCTTAGCTAGAGAACTGTTTTATGACTGCCTGTCACTTGTTTGATGCTTTTTGAACTATTTTACCTCTGCTTCCTAAATAAAATTTTATTCTCAATATTATTTTAGTTTGCATCTAGAGTTAAATGTGAGACAGGCATCAAGCCCTAGAACATGAATTAACTCTGTTAGCCTAGGGATTGCATGCATATGTTCCTTTGCAGAGTAAATACACTCTTATCCTAGAGATAGATGCTGCTTGTTAATAGTTTATAGCAGAAAGTATGATAACAGAGCAGGTTCTAAGCCTGGACATATGATTTCTGGGTAGGCTTCAGTTTTTTGTTTTCACTGAAGGCAGTTCACGAAGGAGATTTCCTCCCTTTACCTAGGCTTTGCTGTAAATTTAATATTTCACTTTGCAGAACAAAAATGTCCATTTATGTTGTTTGTTTGCTGAAAGGAAGAGTGTATTGGTTGTACTATTTGGTATTACACAAGTGGTCCTCAGTGACCACTCGTTCAGTGACTGAACTTACAATGGCTCTGAACAAGTGGTACTTATGACCAGTCCTCAAAGTTCTGGCCATTGCAGCATCCCTGTGGTTTCATGACTGAAATTTGTGACCACCTTTGCTGGCTTCCTACAACGGGGAAGTCGGCAGGAGGTCGCAAATGGCGATCACGTGACATCCTCACTTAATGACTCAGGGTGATTTGCTTAATGGCAGCAACTAGAAGTGCCAGAATTTCTATCGCTAAGCAGCACGATCACACGATGCCACGTTTTACAGCTGTGTTGCTTATTGATGGAAATTTCGGTCCCAATTGCTGTTGTTAACTGAGGGCTCCCTGTATTGTTCTTTACAAAAATTATATATAAATCATGAAAATGCAGCAGTTTAAATAAGCAAAATGTGTACATTTAGTTTGTGGTGGAAACATAATGTTTGTTCAACTATCAATATGTCCATTTGGGAAATACTAAGTACTTAGTCATAGAATTTATTCGGACATAAAGATCACTTCAAGTCCAATCATAGAGCTCTTTCATTATTAATTGAACCGATATATGGAATGTGAATTCCTACAGTGGAAAACTGTTAACCTGTTTATCTTCGAGTATGTAGATCTGAATCACAAACTTAACCTTCAGTGAAAACATAAGGGACACAAAAGGGAGCACTGACATTATCGTTAGAGCAAAAGTGGGGATGGTTTTTCTGTGGGAAGTTAATCTGCAGCCGTAGGCTACCTGCATTTATACTGATTGATTCTCTTTACTATTTTATCAAAGAGCAGAGTTAAGAGGAATAAACCTGTTCTGAATTGTCTTCTTTTGATGTTTTAAAAGCTGTATTATTTTTCTCAACCTTTCTCTTCATTGGTTTATGCTGTTGCGCTCATCGTCTAATACAGAAGAGAAGGTCTTCTCTTATGAATCTAAATCTTCTAAAACATTCATCTCCCTGTTTTCCAGCTCCAGAGGAATATTTTGGCATCTAATCCCAGGGTCACAAGATTCCATATTAACTGGGAGGACAACACTGAAAAACTGACAGATGCTGAGAGCAGTAACCCAAATCTCCAGTCACTCCTTTCTACAGATGCCCTGCCTTCTGCCTCAAAAGGGTGGTCAACATCTGAAAACTCACTAAATGTCATGTTGGAATCTCATATGGACTGCATGTGACCCACTTCCTTCTGCGCTGTTATTTGTTGAGCTCCAAACACACACAGTACACACAACACAACCATCACGGAAACCTTTTTCTTTGGAATTACATATTAAACAAATGTGAAAATTGTTTAAAAAACACACACCCTGTAGAAAGTTTATAAGGAAAAGTATTTGAGTGGATGTATAAATAAAACTATTTTTAAGTAATTCCCTGAGGTTTTATTTAATCTAGCATTAGTTTGTTACCATTATGTATAAAGATACGAAAACGGAGGGGTAGGCATGGATGGTAGAAATTTACATCTTTTTAGTTGTAAATTACAGGGAAGCTTTAGTGAAGTCTATATAAGCTTAGCATAAATGAACTGGTCTTGTTATGCTTTAGAAGCCTTGAACTCTGTACATAGGGGGCAAAGCTGGCCCAACTTAAAGACAGCAGCTACCTGTAAAACACACAGATGTTAATTTTAAGGTTCATGTGAGATGGGTCCCCTGCAGCCTAATATCAGTCTCTTGGTGATAACAGTGTTACATGCCGGCTGCAAAAGGGCTCTTTGTGCATAATCACATCAGATTATGATGGCTATTGCATGTGAAAGAAAAGAGAATGTGACCAACTAGTAAAACTTCAAAGCCTGGCAAGTTTTAATCTCACAAGCAATGTTGGAAAAGGCACAACTGCTATTGGGGTTGTATAGTAACACAAACCAGAAACGAAGGAGGATTTTAATCCAATTAGATGGCCGAGGTACTCCAGATTTTTTCCTTAACGAGGTGGCAGAATACTATTACAAGAGGTTTAAGAAGCACAAGCGGCAGACCTTTACAAGTACAGCACAATTATCCACAAGTGCACTGTTCTTTAACTTGTAACTATCGGCCACTTCTCCCACTCAGGGCAGCTGACTGTAGTGCATTAGAAATTTACTGTGACCTGCTAAATGTCAAGGAAGCTCTGTTGTTGGCTCTCGCACGGAAGATTTACATATAGTTAGTAGAATGTATGATTTGAAAAGAGCATAGGCTTGAATACAATCAGTGTGACTTCCTAGATGCTATTCATATCTAAGAGTATATTAGTATCAGTACATTATTAGTTGGTTAAGACTACTGGTTAAGTTTTTTAGCTACAGTGGGGCAAAAAAGTATTTAGTCAGCCATCAATTGTGCAAGTTCTCCCACTTAAAAAGATGAGAGAGGCCTGTAATTTTCATCATAGGTATACCTCAACTATGAGAGACAAAATGGGGGAAAAAATCCAGAAAATCACATTGTCTGATTTTTAAAGAATTTATTTGCAAATCCCATGATTTGCAAATAAATTCTTTAAAAATCAGACAATGTGATTTTCTGGATTTTTTCCCCCATTTTGTCTCTCATAGTTGAGGTATACACCATGATTTGCAAATAAATTCTTTAAAAATCAGACAATGTGATTTTCTGGATTTTTTCCCCCATTTTGTCTCTCATAGTTGAGGTATACACCATGATTTGCAAATAAATTCTTTAAAAATCAGACAATGTGATTTTCTGGATTTTTTCCCCCATTTTGTCTCTCATAGTTGAGGTATACACCATGATTTGCAAATAAATTCTTTAAAAATCAGACAATGTGATTTTCTGGATTTTTTCCCCCATTTTGTCTCTCATAGTTGAGGTATACACCATGATTTGCAAATAAATTCTTTAAAAATCAGACAATGTGATTTTCTGGATTTTTTCCCCCATTTTGTCTCTCATAGTTGAGGTATACACCATGATTTGCAAATAAATTCTTTAAAAATCAGACAATGTGATTTTCTGGATTTTTTCCCCCATTTTGTCTCTCATAGTTGAGGTATACACCATGATTTGCAAATAAATTCTTTAAAAATCAGACAATGTGATTTTCTGGATTTTTTCCCCCATTTTGTCTCTCATAGTTGAGGTATACACCATGATTTGCAAATAAATTCTTTAAAAATCAGACAATGTGATTTTCTGGATTTTTTCCCCCATTTTGTCTCTCATAGTTGAGGTATACAGACCAAAACATTCTACTTTGGTTTCATCTGACCATATGACATTCTCCCAATCCTCTTCTGGATCATCCAAATGCTCTCTAGCAAACTTCAGACGGGCCCGGACATGTATTGGCTTGAGCAGGGGGACACATCTGGCACTGCAGGATTTGAGTCCCTGGCGGCGTAGTGTGTTACTGA